ATTGTAGAAATAATTCTCCTCACACTGGTCACAGCGATTCCCCACAAAGCCTTCTTTGCATTCACAGCGACCATCATCTTTGCACTGGAGTGAAAGAGACCCCTCAGGATGACAGTCACAGGCTACAAAATAAGAGGAAAATAGAACAGAATAAGCAAAAAACAAATACAAAAAATAAGCAAAAAAAGGAAACATGCATTTTCTTTAACCATCCTGGTATCAATAGGCTTAACTAAGCTATCATTGTAGGTAGACATCTTTGAAAACAGAACTATTCATGAGAATTGAAGTGGTTAAGTCTTAAAGAAGACAGACATGTTTAAAGTAAAAATGAACTTTCAAGTAAAATGTGCATTCTTTCCAGCACATTTCATGTTACTTGATAATTACAGAAATTATTCATCAGTGTCCTGTTCATGTACTTCAATAAATCATCTTGCCTTCACCTATTCAGTTTAATATTGTTCTAAGGATCTAGAAAACCCAAATGCAGGGACCAGCAGTTAGCGTAATGGCTGTGTCGCTAGACTCCCATGTAGTTGACCCAGTGGCTTAAAACTCACGCTGCGCGCATGTGCATGTGTGCCTAAGATCCTGAGGAGAGAATGGAGGAGAAGGGATTGCAGCGTGGCCATCCCCCCAGGGGATGATTTCTTGCTTTCTGTCTCTCTCTGTCTAGCGTGCGCACACGCCCTGTAGCAAAAACCTCACCAAAAAAAAGAAAAAAAAAAAGGATCTAGAAAACTCAAATGTGAATGCTCCTTTTGCATTATTTTATAGTTTGTTTACTCACTTTTGTTCTCCAAACTGGGACAATGACTTAAGCTACATTCCACAGGAGAAATGAAGGAATTCAGAAAGCCAAAAACCAAGCTGTTCTGAGGCCTAGTTCCAGGCAAGTGTTTACGCCAAGGAGAAGCAGATGTTTATACGTAACCGGACCAAAAGGGTCCCAGGGGGTGGGGGGAAGCAGCGGCAGCCAGTGAGTCAACAACACACTGTGAAGAGAACCCTTCACCGTTCCTTTATCTGCACCGAGAACGTGCTCAATAAAAAAGTTTCATTAAGCACAATGGGAAAGTTCAGTAATGAAGGAAGACTTTTCTTTGGAAAAATAAAAATCGAAAAAGGAAGAATCAAAAACGCTATAAAAGACAGTACCAATTAGGTGTTTGCGGAGAAACCAGAGAAGCCCTCCAACTCTGGAGTTTTAGAAGAGGCTGATATCCCTGGGATGACGCCTCTTCTGGCAACTCAGGTGCTGCCCTGACTAGAAGCCAGGTGTTAGACTGAGGCTGTCAGAACCCTTCCTGGACTGAAGGTGCTAGCGGGGATCAGGCAGATTCAGGGGTGCATGCCACCCACAGCCCTTACGTTTGCAGCCTTCGGGTCCAAACCCAAAGTGGTGGACCTCACAGCGCTCACAGTGTTGCCCGGTGATGCCTGGCTGGCACTCGCACTGGCCGGTACGGACATCACACTGCCCGTTGGTGGAACCCAAAGCATGGCAATCACACCTGGAAACAAACACAGCGCATTTCACAGGTAAGCAAAGCAAACTTGAAGCAGGTAATTTTCTCACAGAGCACTGATGTCATTTGTATCAGAAAACATTACAGGGTAAAGGTTACTGAGACAGAACACAAGAGTTCTTGGCCGGCCGTGTAGTGTGGTGGGTAAGGGAGCCAGGTCCCCACGTTGCCAACTGTGATTCGAATCCAGCCCTTGACAAACACACCAGGCATGCACTCATGCCCCAAATCCTGACAGGACGGAGAAATGGAGGAGAAAGGATTGTAACATGACCACATCCCACAGGGGGTGTGGGGTACCTTCTCTCTCTCTCTCTCTCCCCCTCACTCTGGCCTCCCCAGAAATATAAAGTGAGGGGGATTAAGCGCCTGAGGCCCAGGTATTTTCATGAGTGCTAATCAGAACCACTTTTTCTAACCTATCCACTTTCAGCAGCTCTCCAACTGGGCACCTTGCAGCACTCACCAGGCACTCTGAGAACAGAAATTCCCAGGTGCAATACTGCAGGGTCTAATTCTAAGCACCACAGGCAGGACCTTGGAATTTGCATTTTCTTTCTTTCTTTCTTTCTTTCTTTCTTTCTTTCTTTCTTTCTTTCTTTCTTTCTTTCTTTTTTTTTTGACAGGATTTTGCTATAGGGCGCGTGCACTCTCCAGAGAGACAGAAAGCAAGAAATCACGCCCCGAGGGCATGGTCACGTGACAATCTCTTCTTCTCCATTTTCCTCCTGGGACCTTGGGACACACGCACATGTGCCTGGCATGAGTTTTAAGCCACCAGGTCTGGGTCTTGAACCACAGTTGACTATGTGGGAGTCCAGCGATGCATCCATCATGCCATCTGCTGGTCCTGCCAATAGGGTCTTGATGCTGCAGTCCACTCCCAGCCTTCTACCAGCTCCAGATCATGGGCAGCATGGGACTGGTGTATTCTGGATATGGATTGGAACATTCCCTTGTGGGATTGCCTCGCCGAATGAACTGTTCTACCACCATACCACTGTTTGGTTCCTGGACACTTTATTTTTGGAAGGATACCAGCAGGTAATCAGTATGGCCAGTTATGGGAAATATATCCTGGAAGTGAGCAAACAATTCCCCAGGAGAGGGGAGTGACTTCCCACTTTGCCTCTCACTCTTTCTGTCTCTCTCCGGCGAGGGTATGCCCCTTATGGCAAAAAATTAAAATGAAATTAATTCCCCAGGAAAGGGGGGTGACTTCCCACTTTCCCTCTCACTATTTCTGTCTCTCTCCGGCGAGGGCATGCCCCTTATGGCAAAAAATTAAAATGAAATGAAAACATAAGGAAGAAAAAGAAATTCATTCAAGGAAAAAACAAAGCTAAGACTTGGACGTCCACCACAGGCACCCGCGTCTCACCTCTCACAGCCTTTCCCACTGTGCAGGTTGTAGAATCCAGGGTCGCAGGCACCACAGTCACGGCCGGTCACGTAAGGCAGACACTCGCACTGCCCAGTCACGGGGTTACAGTTGCCCTGCTGCCCCGCTGTCCCGTAGGGATTGCAGTCACAGGCTAGGCAGGAGAGACAGCAAAACATACACATTACCCGGGAGAAGGAGCAACACATCTCTACGCAGAGTCTTCAGACGGTGCCGCCTGTGGGCACTCATGGCCGCTGACTGCCTGAGATGCAGCTGGCTACTCTGAGCCGAGACGGGCTAGAAACGTGAACACACTCTGGATCCCGAAGGCCGAGTGTGGAAAAAGAACATAGTTTCACTGCTTATTTTGTATTGATTCTTTGTTAGAATGAAAATATGTTAGATATAGTAAATAAAATATTAAAATTAATTTCACCTTTTTGGGAAACTTTTTAAATGAAGTATCTAGAAAATTATAAGTAACGTAAGTGGGTCATTCTGTATTTCTTTTTAAAAATTTAAACTGACACATAACTATGTATATTTATGGGGTACAGTGGTATAGGATCATTTTTCAGATAAATACAGTGCAAATGATCAAATCAGGATAACTGGCCCCAACCTCACCTCAACTATTGCTGGTCATTTGGGGAACATTTCAAATCCTCTCTTGTGGCCATCCTGAAGTACACAATACATTATTGGAACTGTAGTCTCCCTACTAGGCTATAGAACCCTATCATTTATTCTACCTATTTCACTGTAATTTCAGATTCACTGACCATTCTCTCCCTTTGTCTCTGCCCCCTACCCCTCACAGCCTCCAGTAACCACTTTTCTAACTCAACTTCTATGAGATCAAGTCTTTAGCAGGTGAGAACACACGGGACTTTTCTCCCTGCTGCGCCATATTTCTATTGGACAGAGCTCTGTGAGACCAAACGACTGTGTTTCAAGAGACATACGAGGCGCTCTCAGGATGGGGGCGGGGGTAACTGACAGAGCTGACCAATGGCTGCTCACCTTTGCACTTGTCTGCTGGGTTGGGAGCCAGGGGGTTTCCAAAAAACCCATCTTTGCACCGGTCACAGTAGAAGCCGGCAGTGTTGTAGATGCACTTCAGGCACTCTCCCGTCAGGCGGTTGCAGTTGCCAACAGCGTTGGGGTCGATGTTGTCACTGCACTGGCACAGGCGGCAAAGCCTCACGGGGCCGTTCCTACCCAGAGGGTCTCCGAAGTAGCCATCGTCACAGAGCTCACACCTCTTACCTGGGGAGGAGAGGTGTGATGTTACGGTAGAGAGGCTTTTGGCATTTCCGGTGTGATATAACTGCTAGTTACAGAAGATCACATCTAACCACCAGATGCCAGGTGGCACAAGGCGAGGCAGGGCCAGGGACCCAGGCTGCGGCCTTGGCACTGGGTCAGACTGGCAGAGTGACCCTGAGCTCATCTCTATTTCCTCCTTAGAAACCTAGCACCTGGTCTGCCTGCCTCACAGGAAATGTGCCGATGACCAGCCCAAATTGCGTGTTGAAGAGCTGTGTGAGTAAGCCAGGACAGAGGTGTATAACCTTTCCTGTCCCAAGAGATGGCATACTCAGATATGACTGTTTTGACAAATGACATTACAAAAGATGAAGTGCCACTCTGAGTCCCACAAGTGTCCCATACGACAAGGTGGGCGGGAACTTCTTCCCAAACATAAAAGGTACATGCCTATCCTCACCAAGTAGCTTCGATGAGCACACACCATTGAGCAATTTGAGGACCCCTAGAAGTCAACCACCACCTGCTTCCATCATAGCTAAGGGACTAGACCTTGACTCAGCCAAGTCACTGACAGTGAGGGGAGGCGGCGGAGGCAGGTTCTTTCCACTCACTGAGCTCACTGCTGCTGCTCCCTCCTTCCTGCTTCCCACCATTAATAGTTCAAGTTGGGCCCTGATGCCTTTGCAGGGATAAGGATCTGAATTAGCCTACCCTTTCTGGAGAACTTTGTTCATTTACTCATTCAATAAGCATTTACTGAGCATCTACTAAACACTTCTTGGCCACCAGGATGAGGCGAACGAGGTGCACTAGGTCTCTGTGCTCATGAAGCTTCCACTGCAGGTGGAGGAAACCCACACACGGGCATACACAGGAAAGTATAAATAAATAAGGCAATCTGATGGAGCGACAGAGTGACGGGAGGGCTACTGTAGACTGGGGGGTTAGAGACGGCCTCTATCACAGGCTGGCTCCATATTATGGTGGTTAAAAGAGCTAGATCCAACATAGCCAACCCTAGCTCAAATCCCAGATCCAGTGTCTTGAAAAACAGTGTGTGTGTGTGTGTGTGCATGTGTGCCCCAAATCTCAACAAGATGGAGAAATGAGGAGAAAGGACTCAAGTGTGACCATTCCCCATGGGGAGGTGCTTTTTCTCTCTCCCTCTTTCTCCGATGAGTGTGCACACCATCTGGGAAATTAAAAATTAAATAAAAGAAAATGTAAGAGAAAAGAAAGCCTTTGTCAGGAGGAGACATTGAAAAGAAAATGAGAAGACAGAGAAGAAACCAGCCATGGACACGCCAAGGAAGAATATTCTGGAGAATCAGATGAGCTGTGCGCACAGCTGAAGCCCACCTACGCAGGACCAGGTAGGTCACTAAGAAATGTCGATTACGTTTAAGTGCAGTATGGGCTCCAAGAGGGTTGGAAAATGACACGATCTGATTTACATTTTAGATTTTGATTTTGCCTTCTACTTGGAGAACAGATTCTAGCAGGGCAGGTGAAGCAGGGAGACCAGTTAGGTAATCCCAGGTAAGAGATGGCAGTGGACTGAACCGTGGTGGTGGCAGTGGAGGTGGTGAAAGCGTCTCAAATTTGAGATAGGGTCACTGCAACTTGCTGCCTGATTTGTTTCTGGGATAGAAAAGAAAGAATGACCAAGTATAAGCCCTAGGAATTTAGTGCGAGCATTTAGGTGGATGAGAGTACACCAGGGGACTTCAAAACCTTCATGGAAAGTTGGCATTGAAGTACTAGTTTATTTCTGGTGGAAAAAATAAAAAGAGGAAATCCCTGTTTTGTTTTGTTTTCTGCAATAAGCTTTATTTTAATTTGGTCCAAGGCACAGGAGAGGGCTCCAGGGTGGTTAACAAGCTGCCAAGTGGCTGGAGGGAGAGGCTTGGAAGCTGATACCAGGAGGTGCAGGGGGTCCAGGCTGCTGGGCTCTAGAAACCCCTAGTCGTGCTTCAGGGAGCCTTTCCAACAGACTCGCCCAGCCCAGCCCAGCCCAGGGGTCTGCAGCCTGCAGAGTGGTCGGTCAGCTGCTCGCCCATCTTCTGATAAGTTTCACCCCCCTCCTCATCTAGGAAGTGGGTCTCCTGGAAGTCACAGAGATGGGGGTCAGAGTGGGCAGAACCCAGAGCATGAGGATCCCAAAGGGCCTGCTTAGACTTTTTTCTAGAACCAGAGTGGCTTCCATGGCATCCAGGGTTTCATCCCACTCATCCTGAGAGGAAAGGCACTGCATGTCTTGGAAGAGCCTGGCTGCTGCACTGGTTTTGCATCTTTAAGAGATGCTCCTTACCCTCGTGCTTCACCTCAGCCACCTAGAGGGAGAAGTGGCCCACGCCCTCTGGAGCCACATTGTCACAGCTGAAACGTTACAGACGCCCAGCGAGAGGGAGGTGTAAGAGGCCCACAGGTACAGACTGACTGTGTGGGTCACGGCAGCCTCTACCTCTGGAGAATGATTCCAATGAATCTGGGAGCTCATGGTTGGTCTGTAATTAGGAGCTAACCACAAAATGGTGCTGGCTGGTCCCAGAAGGAGATGGCCTAGAAGATGGTCTCAAGATAGTGGCCAGAGAAGAGACTGGAGGCTGGGAAGAGAGTCCCTGGGTCTGTATGCCCAAACACTGCTAAAGCCAGAGAGAGATCCACTGTACCTCCAGGCATGCTGCCCATGCACTGTATTATTTTATTTATTTAGTTTTGTTTTTTTTAAGAGAAAGATTTTTGCTATAGAGCCCATGTGCTCGCCAGAGAGACACACAGGGAGAAATCACCACCTAGGGCAGATGACCATGCCACAATCCCTTTCCCTCCATTCTCCTCTCGGGACCTTGGGCATGCACGCACATACACCCAGGGTGAATTTTAAGCCACCAGGTCCAGGACTTGAACCACAGACAATGACATGGGAGTCTAGCAGTGTAACCATTACACCATCTGCTGGCCCCACAATATTTTTTTTATAATAGGCAAGTTACATGAACTTTTTGAAAACCCCTCATATGTACTGAAATGAACAAGATTCAAAAAGGAAAAGGTTGGGTTTGAAGAAAAATCAAAGCTTTAGCTTCGACTTGCTTATATTTGAGATTCTGTTAGCTATGCAAATCTAGAACACAGCACAGAACAGCTGGCACATTCAGATCAGCAGGACCTGATGAGCAGAAGAACGGGGGCATTTACAGAAGTACTAAGAGAGTGTCGGGAAACCAGCCCTGGAAGTCCCGTCATCTGGGCCTCGGGGTGAGAGCAGAACCTAAAATTAGAAAGAGCTGTTTGGAGACGGCCTCCTGGAGGAGCTGAGAATGGTGATTTGGGGTCGCCAACCCAGAGGACCCCAGAGAGAGGGCACCTTCAAAGAAACACTCTGCCCTCCTCCTCCTCCTGCTTTCTGATCTCCTACAGATACTTCCTGCTGTCTGAACTCTCAGAGAGGCTGGCATCTGATGAAGAGCAAGCAGTCTCACACAGTGGAGGAGGGGGAGAGTGGATGTGGAGGGACAAGCGTGTGGGTCTAGAACTGCAGATCAGGTCAGGTGAGGCCTGGAAACTGACCACTGCATGTGACTAACAGAAACCACTGATGAGCTAACCAGAAAACATGGTTGAGGTGAGGGAAAAGGGGGAGAAACAGGCCATTAGAGAGGAAGGGCAGCTAGGGACCCTCCTGGCCTCCTTGAAAATAGCTGCCAGACTCTCGCCATGACCCAACTCCACGTTAGGACCAAGGTGACAGTTCAGTTATGCCTTTCATCAGATAATATGGCTATGCTATTTACGATCCATATTGGAAGAGTTCTGAAACCTGTTTGGAATAAAACTTAATAAAATTAAAATCTGATGGAAATGCTAAAACAGAGCCCTTGAAAAACTCACTCCAGAATACCAAGGCTAGTCTATATTTATTATTTAAAAAAATTTTTTTTAATTCATTTTTTAAGAGAGATTTTACCAGAGAGACAGAAAGTGAGAAATCACTCTCCAGGGGAGATGGCCATGCTGCAATCCCTTCTCCTCCATTCTCTTTTGGAATGGAGTGAGTTTAAAGCTGCCAGTTCCAGGACTCAAACTGCAATTGATTATGTAGGAATCCAGCGACAGAGCCATTACGCCATCTGCTGGTCCCAATATGCTCATGTTTTAGAGTCTAGGAAGTCTTAGAAGATGGTGTGTTTTGATTTTTTTCTAACGATTAAATATTTTAATGAGACAAAACCAACAGCAATTATTAGCTCATTTTTGTTTGGTTTTGTTTCTACTTATTTTCATGCTCTGTGGTAGTATCCCACCAACAAGCATTTTATTTTTAATTTTTAAACATTATTTATTTATTTTAATTTGATCAGAGAGGGGGCAGAGAGAGAGAGAGAGGGAAAGTGAGAAAGCAAGGGGCTCGGGACTCGAGCCATGGTCAACCATGTGCAAGTCCAGCACCTTAACCACCACACTACCTGCTGGCTCCCAAGCTTTTAATGGAGTCAAAGGCTGAACAGAATCATGGCCAGAACCTCTCGATGGTGATGGGGAAAGGGGGGAAAACCAATGGAAGGCAACTAGCCTACCAGTGAGCCTCGGTTTCCTCAGCACATCAGCACACTTTTTTTTTTTTTTTTAATTTGCCAGAGGGTGCATGTGCTTACCAGAGAGAAATAGAGAGTAGGGAGAAAGCACCTCCCATGAGAAATAGTCACACCTCAATCCCTTCTCCATCTCTCCCTCCTTTCAGAATTTTGGGCACACATGCACACATGTGCTCAGTGTGCTCTCAAGCTGCCAGTCCAAGACTTGAGCCACACTGATGGCCATGTAAGATCCAACTCCCCCAACCACCAGGCTGTGGGCTGGTCAGGTAGTTCGGAGGGAGAAAGCACCTCCCATGAGAAATAGTCACACCTCAATCCCTTCTCCATCTCTCCCTCCTTTCAGAATTTTGGGCACACATGCACACATGTGCTCAGTGTGCTCTCAAGCTGCCAGTCCAAGACTTGAGCCACACTGATGGCCATGTAAGATCCAACTCCCCCAACCACCAGGCTGTGGGCTGGTCAGGTAGTTCTTAAAATTGTTAGAAAGGATTTAATTTTACATTCTCTACATGAAAAAGAAACACACAGAAGGGGGACAGAGGCCTATCCAAAGCTATAAAAATCAAGTACATTTTCTCGGCTAAATGTGATACTCTGATATACTGAAAGGAATAGTTAAAAAATTTTAAAATGACCACTTTACATCAAGAATCTCAGGAGAGGCCCTCGACCAAAACTCAAGCTTTGGTTTGTGTTGAGAGGGCATATATTGTCATGATCATTATCTCTGAAGCCACACAGACTGGCTTGAGATCCCAGCTTGACCGAGTAGCCATGCACGCTTGCACTTGGGGCAATGTCTCTGTGCCTCACTTTTCTTCGCTGTAACATGAGAATAATATCAGAACTTATGTATAGGGTTGTGAGGACCAATGAGGCCGTGCATGTAAAGGGCTTAGAGGAGCACCCAGCCACTAATACTCATCAGCCATCGCTTGTCGTCTGATAACACATTCTACAAACCCATAACTAACTTGTTTCCTACAAAACTTTTGCCTAGTAGGAAAACCATAATTACTGAGCCAAACCCCCTCAAAAAAAATCCAGAAAAAGACCCCAAGCGTTTTTCCCAGGGTCATTTTACAGGATGAAACACTGAATCAGATGGAGAGTAACCTACCTGAGGTGCCCGTGGGACAGTTGGTGCACACCACTTCCTTCGTCTTGGGGACAACAGCACAACTTGAGCCTCCGGGACATGGACAGGGCTGGCAATCAGACGAGGTGCCCGTGGTTGAATCTCCATAGTACCCGTCACTACACTTCTCACAGTGGGGGCCGGCTGTATTGTCTCTGCAGTTGCAAACACCTATTTAGGGAGTTGGTGTCAGAAAACAGGCAAGCGTGCGAGTGAGTGAGGAGATGAGCACTTCCCAGCCAACTTGCTCAAGAGAAGGGCGGGCCAGCAGCTGCCCCCGATCACCCGCTCACCTGTCTCGGGGTCGCAGGTCTCACTGTGTCCATTGCAGGTACAAAGCACACATGGACTGTATGGTCCAAGACTCGGGGTTTCCCTTCTGTAACCTGAGAGGCACCGCTCGCAAAACTGCCCCCCATATCCCACAGGACAGGTGCAGGATTCCACCCAGGTGGCGGGGACTCCAGGTCCAGGACGAGCACTTGCTAGGGTGACATCATCCAAATAGCCAGCACCTGTGTGTGGCGTGGAAAAGAGAATCAATGAACTGGTTTCCGCTTTCCAAAAGCTTGTAACACGTCAGTGATGCTAAAGAGAAATCAGACCTAAAATTCCAGAGAAAATCAGCCATTGGCATCCGTCCACGAGCGAAGATGTTTAAAAATGGCGTCCAGGACAACCACATGGTACTGGGAGCCAAGTAACCAGAGTGATAGTACGGCAACCACCTCTTACACTAAACATGCGCTCACACAGACATCCCCAGATCTTGGGCTTGACAGTTCTCTCAACCATCAACGTGAAGAAATGAAAAGTACCAAGCAGTCATTTAGGGCAAAAAGAGATTAGGAGCAAGAATGTGGGGGAAGAAGCTGACGTAGCCAGGAAGGAGCGTTTTTGTTCCTTTGCCACAAAAGCAGGCAATGACTGTGAGTTCAAGGATGAGAAAGAAGGGAAAAACCCTATCGACAAATAACCCCTGAGTTGTTTTCTTTTGCCTCCATGAAACAACTGAACAAGTAAATAGCCAGGGCAACTTCGGACAATATGCAATTATGCCAACGCCATTATGCCAAATGTCACAATGCTTTCCCATTTCTATATGAAAATTAAAATAGAAGAATTCTCATATAAGCTTAGCCCAATGGTTCCTCCGATCCAGTGCCTTGACAGCATCAGCAGGA